TCTCGGCTTATGAAAAATTTAGTAAAGCATGAAAAAGTCATACTTAGCATATTTTAAAACAAGTTGAAAATAAAAGTAAAAATGAAAAACTTGAAAAGTAAAATAAAAGAGAAAGCTTTAATAAAACTAGAAAGAAGAAGATAATTGTAATTTGAGATGTGTGTTTAGGCTTACCCCAAGAGGGTATTTATAGACTCTCAAAGCCTAAGGATAAACAAAGAAATTAAAATAAAATTATCCTAAAGATAATTGTTTTTTCTAAATTCAAACTTTAAACTAGTCTCCTAATGTAACTCTGCTCGTCCATATTCGAGAAGGCGCACTGAGTAGATCTTCTAGAAACCGCCGCTGATTAGACCTTCTAGAAACTGCCACGTCAGCCGTGTCATGCCCAGAGTCGTGCCCATGTCTTTAGTCGTGACCAAATAATAAAAAAATGCAGAATGCGCCTGTTTTATCACTAATTCTAGAAAGTAAGGACCTGCACGAAAATAAGCATAGCACAACCAAATCAGTAGAAATAAATCCACAAAATCGAAGAAATATGAGCAAATATAAACGATTCTAAACACTTATGAACTATCAAGAGAGGTACATAACTAGTAAATTGGCCACCACATGATCGCCTAAACTTGTTTAAAGACATAAATGTTTCTTCTAGGATGACTGGTGTGGGATGTGTTTTCCTAGTAATGACTTCAAGAAAATTATTATGGCAATATCAAAGTGATCTTACTTTCTCAGAAAAACTACCAAACCATATATTGTGAGTGTAAACTGATCTCTCATCTTCTTGGATAGTGTTTACTCATAGATCAAACTTTTTAGTTGAGCCCAAGAGATCCCATCGTTCTGAATATACTCTGCGACCCATTCTCTTGTCTTCCCAGTCAAAGTGACCATCTTGGTTACGAATCCTTTAGGTCGGATTACCTTAGTGTAAAGCGAATGCCTTTTGACATTTGGTATGTTTAGTAGGGTGGTATACTCTTCGAGGGTAGGGGTTATGTCTATTTTTCCAAAGGTGAAGCAACGATACACAGGATTCCAGCATTCAACCAAAGCTCAAATGACAACTTTGTCTATCAATACTCTTAATAACTCTACTACTTCTCTATAGACTTCTCTGAATAACATTTTCTAGGTCTCATCCCAACTAGCCCAGATTCTTTCCAACTCTGCCTAATGTGTTTGCTTGACACCAATAATAATCTTTTTTGGCATCATAAATTCTTCACCAGCTACAATACTATTTCAAAACCACGTTTGTCAATATTCTGACCAAGTCAGAACATTTATCATATTCTCGGTCATATCGGAACACATTGCTGCCTCAAGCCCTTTTTATAATAACCAGATGATTCGGGAATCAATATCTTCTATGTAATGTTATGAAATGAGAATGAGAATGATACATGCAAATAAGAGACAAAAGAGATAAGTTAGTAAAGTTAAATTAATTTAAATAATTCAAAGAATAATGAATGCTAAAATTAGTACAGTTAAATTAATTCAAAGAATAAGGAATGTTAATTACGAACATAAAACATGCAAAGGAAATTAAAACCCTAACTGTATACGTTCTAATTCTCTTAGGTTTTCCACATGGCTCTAATGGGGTAGGTCTACTAAATTCTCTAAATGAGGCTTGGTTCTAGGAAGGTTCCCTAGACATCTTTACAACCTTCTAAGGTTGACTCCAATTCTGTCCCATTACAGACTTGTGAATCATATTCGACTTTGGGGATCACACCACTAAAATCGTGTCTCAAAACTGATATCCGGACAGGCAACTTATGATATTTTTCAAGGGTAATTTGTCAGACCTACACGATGAAGCCTAATGCTCCCTATGAGGTGTGCCATTTCCCCTTACTTAGGCAAACCGGGATTGAGCTCGGGTTTAGAGCTGTGATATGCAACAATCCTAAATAAAATCATAAAAGGGTAAGCATTAAACAGAGAGAAAATCTTCTTTTTTTGTTGAAATAACATAATGAACTGTAAACTAAATAAGATCGACTTGTAATTTCTAGAATTCTAAATATAGGGTAACCAACTCGTGGCTCGACTCTCAAGTTGTTTTGGAAAACAAAATATCCCTAGTAGAGTCTCCAAGCTGTCGTCACTGTTTTTCGTCAGGGTGGGGAAAAATTGTATGACTTAGGGGTTTTTCTTTGAAAATGTTTTGAAATGTTGGGAGTCGCCAAACTGTCGTCACCTTTTTCGCCCGGGTGGGGAAAAACTTGTATGACTTAGGGGGTTTTCTTTGAAAAGGTTTTGAAATGTTGGGAGTCGCCGCCAATCATTTTAAGGTGCGATTAGGACACCATAAAAACTGATAATTTTAATAAAATATTTTATTTTATCAAAATATCAAGTTTAGGGTCTATGAAAACCCAAAAATGGGTTCGAGAGTTAGTTACTCATGGGGAAGGATTAGCACCCCTACCACACGAAAAAATGGGTACCTAGTTGATTACCCTATATTTAAAATTAAAATTTTTGAGTTCGAATTTTATTTAATCAAAAATTCACTATGGATGGATAATTGAAAAGAATGTTTGTTTATTTATGCCAATAGTGTTCTCCCCTAGCATGAATGCGGGAGAACAACTATTACGCCCAATAACCATACATTACCTTGATTTTAAGAAATCATGATGCAATCTTGAAAAGGATGTCGACCTATTTTGGGAATCACCAGTAGTCACCCCATGAGCATACTTGCGAGAGATATACAATTGACTCCTTAATAAGTGAACATTGCCTTAGGTTTTAAAAACGTGTGCAACTAATCAATCAAATAAAACCTAATTTCACTAGTGAATTCATTAAGGCTTCTCTTGACCTAAAGTGTTAAATTATGAAATTAAGGAACCCAGAGGACTAAACTTGAAATTGAGTCTATAATATTATCCATAGCTGATTTTGTTATCTAATTATTGGATCAGATAATATATTTGAGCAATCGGACATTTGTTTGCGAAAACTCAAATCAAATCGTTCTCTAATTAAAGGAGTAAGATGAAATTAAACCTAAAGTGTAGGCTATAATTTAAATCTAATTAATTATGTTAATCTAGAATTCTAATTAAAAGTTTAAAGACTAAAATATGAAAAGGATAAGGTTAAGACTCTAATTATTAACCTTAATTAATTACCTTTTTTTTATTGAATCGCCCTCCAAAATCTAAATGCGAGAGCTAAAATCGAATTATTCTCTAAATTAGTGTCTAGGTGTGAGAAATCTAAATCTAAGGTTTAAGTCTAAAATCTAAGGCTATAATTACTAACTAAATTAAAGAACTAGAGCTGAAAGATTAATCCCTAAAAACATAAAACAAACATGTACTTTAAAAAAATAAAAACAAACTAAAACTATACAAAGTTGATTTTTAAAGACTAACTGCAAATTTAAAAATTATCAAATAAATTTAACATGAAATTAATAATAGGATTAATTTAACAACAAATTAATTTAAGGACTAAATCTAAAGAAACTTAAATTTAGGGACTAAAGCCTAAAATTTAAGTATTATAATTATAACCTAAATTAGGACTAAATTAAAATTAATTAAATTAAAGTACTCATTAATGAACAAGAATTTGTACACAAATATTATAAACAAACATGCATTAAAATTGTAATATAACCTAAACATTATAGGTGACTAAATTAAAAAAAACAAAATATCCCAATTCGAAAATAAATGAAATAAAAATAAATCAGGGGACTAAGATATAAAAATGCATTAAAAGTAAAGGGACTCAAACAATATTATCCAAAAAATTTAGTTCTAGATATTTAATGAAACATATAAATATAAAATAACATGTTAAGGACGTATATTCAAATGTATCACTAAAAAAAGACAACATATGACTATTTTGTAAAAATATGAGTAAGATAGGGGGACTAAATGATGATTTTCCATTTTTTATAAGCCAAATATGCACTAATAAACAAAATTGTGAAAATTACAGGATCAGACCAAATAAATTAAAACTAAAATCAAAACGGTCCTTGCAGGTGACCAATATGCAAAAACGTGACAACTTTAGGGAGATTTAAGTACAAATAACCCCTAAACGTTTATTATAAAGCACACTTTATTATTCTTCTTTTTTTCATTTTAACCTAACCCCTAAAAAACTATCTCTACTATCCTTCACTCTCTCTTGGACGACAACCATAAAAGCCCAATGCCATCGCGCTGACCACCACTCTGGCCACCTCTAATGGTGGTTAGAGTTCCAAAAAATATCCTAAATAAACCAAAACACCCGATCTACCCACTTAGACACAAATCAAAGTCGAAAACCCCTATGTAAGGCCAACATACCCCTAAACTAAGACCCGACCTTTTGGTTCCTACCACTCCGATGAGCCCCCGACGACGCAAAGCTCTCCCCAGGTAAACTCTTCGATTTCTTTCTTTATATATATATATATATATATATATATATATATATATTTGTTTTGAAATTTGCCTAAAAAAAAGAAATCGGGTGTTTTTTTACCTTGATTTTTTTCTTTTGTATTGCTCTGAAAAATGAGTGGAGATCCCTTTTTACATACTGATTTTCGGGTTTTATACCCAAGATTACATAGATTTTACAATAAAAAAAACAAAACCTAATCCTACTTATTTTATGACATTCATTGTGCATGTGGATTGCATTTTTAATGCTCTAGATTTTTTGGAGTTTTTGGTTTGGATTTGATCTGATTTCTTTCTTTTATTGTGTTGGGGGGTGATGATGGTGGAACAGTGAAGGTGGTAGGCTTCACAGGCGACGGTACAATGAGGAAGATGAAGAGATTGGCAAGGATCCATATCACTTTGTGTTTGTTTGACATGGATCCATGGAATAAGGATCCTTAGATCAAGCTTTATCAATGGATGAGATTGATTTGTGTTAGTTGACTTGAATCTCAAAAGTAACACCCATTAAATGCTTGTCCCCCTTTGAAATTCAAACTAAAAATATCTCCCTCACAAAGAACAAAAACAGGCGGCTATCCAAAGAGATGATACATTAGAGTTTGAATATTGGGCCCGGTTTTGTATGTAAATAATAATAACATTATTTTATAATAATAATATAATAATGGTCGAAAAATGATGAGTACAGAATCTTTGGAGCCAGTTAACAAGAAAGGTATAGGAGTCTTTGGCAGTTCTTAAATCCCCTCTTAACTTATAGTCTGATGTTCTATTTGAGTACGTGAATCCCACACCGGCGGGGGATTCTAAAAATATGATGTTGGCATCTGACATTAACACACAAAATGTTAGCATTTTTAATGATCATATGAATTTAGCATGAACGGAGCGATTGAAATAATGAAAAAATTATTATTATTCTTTGAGATCTAGATTCGAATATCAGAAATGTTAAGAGGTATCAATATTTAATGTAATATGGTTGAAAGTTACCTAGTATAGTTACCGAAACAGTTTGCATTGCAAGAAGGAACTTACCTTTATTCCACGTGTATTGATTTCGATGCAAGGTTTTACCATCTTTATTTACTCTAAATGGCCCAAGTTCCATCATAGCTCCATTTCCAATTGAAGACCAACCAGGCCCTGCCCATCAAAATACTATAATACATGTAGTATTGTTCATCTATACTACATTTACAAAGTTAATTGAATAGAGTTTACTAAAAAATTCTTTATCGTTCAACTATTTTTCATTATTAAATAAATTTTAAAAATATTTTTATATAAAATAGTTTTTCATCCACAATATGAATATGATAAAATATAATATTTTAAAATGTATTTAATAATATTGTGAGATTGTTTTTCATTTAAGTTTGTTATATGTCATATTTTAAAGACAACTTTAATATTTAACACTAAATGAAGATTATCAAGTGGGGAAGAATGTGCAGTTATGATACATATACCACACGCCCTAAAGCTGAGGATGATGAATTTACTATACCACTGTCTCTATCACACGAGGCCAGATCAAACTTTTTAGGGGTTGTTTGGTTCGGGGAATGTGGGATTCTCATGGGAATGGAATTCACATTCTCCCGTTTGGTAATATTTTATTACCAATAGTAGATTTTTTGGATATATTATCGGAATGTCATTACCTCCATTCCCTTAGGTATTGTTGGATTACCGGCGTTTTGGACTAAAATACCCTTAATTTTTTTTCAAAAATATCATTATTCTGTAATTGAATAATAAAAATTTTACAAAGATTAAATTACAAATTTATCCGTAAACTATTTTATATTTACAAAAAAAGTCTATAATTAAAATTTTATATAAAGTTCTGGGGTTAAAATAAAATTTTACCCTTTCATTAAACCATTTTATATTTTCAATTTTATAAAAAATATATAAATTTTATGAATTTAATTTTTAAAGAAAATATATAAATATTTTCCAACTTGTTAAAAAACAAATATATAATAAGGACAATTTGGTCAAATATACATTACAATAATCCTTTATTCCTTTAACCAAACACGGTAATATTACATTCCTGCTAAACCAACCAAACACAAAATAAAACATTCCCTGTAATCTTTTATTCACACTGGTAATCTTACATTCCTTGAACCAAACACATCCTTAAAGACAAGCTTCAAATCGCAGTTCAAGCATTCATCCGTAAGGACCTAATAGCAGTAGATTTACAATAACTTTTTGAAGGGGATCCAGTTGTTATACGATCAACATGTCTTTTGGAGATAAAACCTTCTATCCCTTATCTTTCCAAAGGTTCTTTAATTGCATCAATCCGATATTGGAAACTCAAGATATGTTCATTTTAGTGAAGATAGCGCATGCAGAAATTCCTATACGAGATTAATACGTGAATTTGTAAATATTACGAATTTTCACTATTTATATTGATTATTTGTAATATAATTTAATATAGGATGATGCATTATCTTTTAGGATTAGATTTATTATTTTATCAAGAATTAAGGTTGAGTTAAAACATTATTTTTAGTTATTATTATTTTAGTAGGATAAGGTTAAGACATGTTTAATTTGTTATTATTTTATTCATTAGTTATTTAGGACCTTTAGAACTCAACCCCTATATAAAAGGAGGCTTCATTCAACTTTGAAAACACAAATTTCTTTGATTAATAATACAACGATAGTTCATTTTTGCAAGTGTTGATTGTCTTGTGCCTTCGAAGCTTCTTCTCCTGAAGTTCTTTCAAGTTCTTGTGAGGGAGATTAACTTCACACTCAAATTTTCCTTTTCATCACTACTCGGAGTGTTGGTTAGAGCCATATTATCGAGTTTGCCTTTTCATTGCGACTAGGAGGGTTTGATAGGACACTTATAATCTATTTTCTACAAATCCATCCTCACCATCATCATCTTTACCGTTCACCTTAATAAGGGAGATCTTTTGATTTCTTGGTTATCATACTTTATTCTCAATTTCTTTATCTTTTGTTTATCTTGTTCTAATCTTGTTTCTTACCTTATTTCCAACACTTAAAAGAAACTCTAAAAGACCCTAGCTATTGCCACCACCTTCCCCTATTCATCCCTTTGTTCTTCATCGAGTCTAGAGATTTTTAGGTTTGATTCTTCAACAAGAGCAACGTTCATTAACCCGCCACCGCTTCCCTATCAATTGGTACTAGATTTGGACCGATTCTTGTAAAGAATCAAGTAATCGTGCTTGTTCTTGCACAGAAAACCGCCAAGGTATGTTAACGGAGCTAGTTCGCAAAAGAATCATTGTTTCAGGTTTTTTTGTTTAATTTTAATTTAGATTCAAATTCTTCTTGTTAGTTTGCTATTTTTCATTAGAAAAACAAAAACAAAACAAATCACAAAAAAATTCAAAAATTGTAAACGAATTAATTTAGGGATTATTTTTTCCAGATCTCATGTTCATCCTAGGAGTAATCTACAGTCCAAATTTCACCCCAATCGGAGTTCATTAGAGCTTTCAAATACATAGTTCATGTTTCATCGGCAGATCCAGTCTAGAATCTTGTCGAATTTATTCAAAACTTATAAAAAAGGAATTTCGTGGTGAAAATTTCCAGATTGAAACTACGTATATTGAAGATCATTTAAAAAAATTCAGAATTTTTGGAGATCAATAACACCTTTGAACAAAGCGATCACGAAAAATAGACTGTTTGAGGACTCACCATTCAACATAGTTTATTGGATACTACTGAAGGTATTTAGTTCTGAAATTTTACAGGGGGTTTCTACACACATCGAACGACATTAAAAAAAATTTCCAAAATTTTTGGAGACCGGTAACCCCCTTAAAAACACTGCTCAAGTTGACCTAGCATTTTCTAGGTTTCTGGTTTAGCTCTTTTTTTCCCCTTTGACTCTTAGTGCTTTAGGTTCTTTTGTTTTCCTTTTTATTGTTATTTGAAATTATCTAATACATTATCTTCCTTGTGTTAGTAGAATAAAGAGTTTGCATACTTCTTCCTTCTTTGCATTCTCTTTCTCTTGGAGTCTAACCCTTGTTTGACCTCTTAGAGCTTTTAGGTTTTTATTATTGCCTTTGCTAGTAATCAAACTCCGATATGAACTGTGAAGACTACTTGGTAAAGTGAGTTTTAAAGAGTACAAGATCAACTTACTTGTCTCTCGATGTATTATTATTATTATTTTTGAGTGACTAGTGAGGTTTCTTGTTTTCTTTTTTTATTTTTCTTTTTTCTTTCACTTTAAATTTTCTTTTGAGTGTTGTGATTTCAACATGGGAAACAATAAAACAAGACACTTACGGCTATCTTAGCCGCACTTGAATGACTCGCGACTAAATTTGATCAACTTAACAATGCCGTGAGAGAATGACAATAACTACAACTGGATCTACCAAACCAGAATCCAAGACCAAACAATGCTGAGCTTTTGGCCCCCATATGAGCACAACCACATTTCCAAGCACCCGAACTCTTTGCAAAACCAAAGTTCACGATCCCGTCTTTCAAAGGAGATTATGATCCAGACAAGTACATCGATTGGGAAGGAAAAGTAGATCTCATGTTCACATACCATGACTGCCCCCAGCTGAACAAGTTACCCTCATCATCTTGGAGTTTGAAGGATATGCTCACACTTGGTGTATACAAACAAGGAAAAAGATCAAAAACTTCCAAATTCAACCAATCACTTCTTGGACCGACCTCAAACAAGCCATGAGGAACATATTCCTATCGACACATTATACACAAGAAGTTAAACAACGACTACACCGACTTCGACAAGGTAGAAGTTCAGTTGAAGATTACTACAAGGAGATGCAGTCCTTACTCAGTAGGGATAACATAACCGAAAAAGAATATGACACTGTGTCAAGATTTGTCGTCGGCTTAAACTCAAACATCACTGATCTTCTTGACCTCCATGGGTACGAAAACCTTGAAGATACACTAAAGAAGACAATGACAATCGAAGTAAAAATCCAAAGGAGATTCCGATTCAGACAACATTACCAAGGTACTTCATTATCTTACCAAGGTAATCCTTTAAGTATTTCCTCATATTCTACTCCATCTTCTCTAAAAAGCCGAGAGATGACAAACCTGACAAGGAGAAATAATGACCAGCAAAGAATGGCACACTTCCAGCCCCTAAAGATGACACCGGAGCAAGAGACATCAAGTTTTTTTAAATGCTTAGGAAGAGGCCATATCAGTCGCAATTGTCCAAACATGAGGACCTAACCATACTAGGTAATGGATCTTACAATTCTGATTCCGATGACGACATCCCCAACATTCCAGAACATGCCGAAGCCAAAGAGCACAATGATGACTATGGAAGCGATGAGTACTATGGAACACTATTGGTGATCCGTCATACCTTGAACATCCAAGCACCGACAAGTCTGATATATAACGTTCCAACAATTTCCACACACGCTGCCATATCAAGGAACAACCATTCTCCATCATCATTGACAATGGTAGTTGTGTCAACGTCATTAGCTCCAACATTGTTGAATCACTCAAACTTCTTTCCAACGACATCCAAAACCTTATTTCCTACAATGCCTTAATTAGAGTTATGAGATGAAGGTGGTTAAACAATGCCTCGTTAATATCAAGATAGGAAAGTATTGTGACGACGTATGGTGTGATGTAATTTTAATGCAAGTGTAACACCCTTGACCCGTATCCGACCCGGATAAGAATAGGGTCACATTCACTTTTCAAACGCTTTGACTCTTTTAAATAGACTAACACTTGACAATGAAAGAAAAACTTAATAAAAGTTATTTACAAGACATATAAGAGCATCTACTTTTTAAACATTTATGTATATGCCAACAAAATTTCCAATAACAAGATCACATACTATTTAATTTTCTTTGATTTGATACTCTTCAAAGCTATGATGTTCTGCCTTTGCTTACTCTCATTTCTCCTTTGAACCTACGTGTGAAAACACTCACATGATAAATCTTAGACTTAGTGAGGCATAATGAGTATAATAAAACAATAAAACATTTATGTAATTATTTCAAAAGAAACATTAAATACAAAAACACCATACACTTCATAACATATAACATATACTATTAAGCATTGTTTAATTTATATCCATTTGTTTA